ATTGTATGATTGTTTTAAAGTATACCGTGGTCCCATTGTATGATTGTTTTAAAGTATACCGTGGTCCCATTGTATGATTGTTTTAAAGTATACCGTGGTCCCATTGTATGATTGTTTTAAAGTATACCGTGGTCCCATTGTATGATTGTTTTAAAGTATACCGTGGTCCCATTGTATGATTGTTTTAAAGTATACCGTGGTCCCATTGTATGATTGTTTTAAAGTATACCGTGGTCCCATTGTATGATTGTTTTAAAGTATACCGTGGTCCCATTGTATGATTGTTTTAAAGTATACCGTGGTCCCATTGTATGATTGTTTTAAAGTATACCGTGGTCCCATTGTATGATTGTTTTAAAGTATACCGTGGTCCCATTGTATGATTGTTTTAAAGTATACCGTGGTCCCATTGTATGATTGTTTTAAAGTATACCGTGGTCCCATTGTATGATTGTTTTAAAGTATACCGTGGTCCCATTGTATGATTGTTTTAAAGTATACCGTGGTCCCATTGTATGATTGTTTTAAAGTATACCGTGGTCCCATTGTATGATTGTTTTAAAGTATACCGTGGTCCCATTGTATGATTGTTTTAAAGTATACCGTGGTCCCATTGTATGATTGTTTTAAAGTATACCGTGGTCCCATTGTATGATTGTTTTAAAGTATACCGTGGTCCCATTGTATGATTGTTTTAAAGTATACCGTGGTCCCATTGTATGATTGTTTTAAAGTATACCGTGGTCCCATTGTATGATTGTTTTAAAGTATACCGTGGTCCCATTGTATGATTGTTTTAAAGTATACCGTGGTCCCATTGTATGATTGTTTTAAAGTATACCGAGGTCCAATTGTATGAATGTTTTAAAGTATACCGTGGTCCCATTGTATGATTGTAAGGAAAACGAAACAAACCACACCCTTCTTTTTTACCTTTCCCGACAGGACAGAGATGGGGGAAGCAGGAAAACAACTGAAAATAAAAGACCTCCCTCCTGACATCACTCAAGACAAACTGAGGATTATATTATCTAATAAAAAACGGAGAGGTGGTGGTCCTGTTGTAAGTGTTGACTTGGACAGTGAAAAACACAGTGCCGTGGTTACCTTTCTTGAATGCGAAGGTAATTTTTAATATAATCTAATTAGCAACTCCTAATTTCAAAATTTATTTTTTCAAATAGGCACAGTTCATAGTATGAATTCCCAGATATGTTGTTTGATGTATCTGTAACTTAACTAAGGCGTTATATTATACAGTTGCAAGCTTAACTAAATGCGTGTAAAAAAATGTGTATCCTCAATTGGGATTATCCAGTTGAGTGTTGGGGAGCATTCTATTCTATCTAATCTTCACGACATACAGAATGCATGTTAGTAATATTACATATTTAACGAAGATGGCTGTGTGATAAAAAGTAATAGATGTCGTTTTGTTAAAAACGAATGCGTCCCTTTACCTATTATATCGACCCATCTCAAATGTGCATTATTTTCCTAGTGATTTCCCCATCAGTTGTGACGGGTTATTTCTGGTCAAGGTCCAATGAAAACGTTTGTATTTTTTTGTTTTGTCCGTACAAAATCTTTGGCCCACTGCCAATTTATGTTGGGGTTTGAAGGGGCGGGGGGGGGGGGCATCGGATAAAAGTTTTTCCCCGTAAGAGTC